CGGTCAGAGCGAGGCTTCAGATCATCGGCTGCCCTCTCCCCTCCTTGATGGACATTTATTCCTCCCGCTGCCTCAGTAGAGCAGCAAAGATCAAGGACAAGCTGCTCAGCCTGCTTAACAGTTTCTTCCCAAAGACCACCACCCTGAAGTCACACAGGCACCAGTAACACACTCCCTCACCCCAGTTTTCCCATGTCCCTCCATCAACCACCACCAAGAAAAGAGAGATCGTGGAGACATTTATCTCTGACCTTCTCATTGCCTCGATCACTGATCTCACTGATGCCATTGTCTCCTGAGGTCTGCAGGATCACCTCATTGTCATTTCCCAGCAAACACTGCATCGTTAACGAGACAGTTATCATCAGATCCTGAATTATTTGTGACAAGCAGAGTCAATCCGTAATTAGCAAATAAAAACCCAGACATGCGATAGTGCATTGATACTGAAACATAAAAACTGAGTAAATTGGTAATAATTGAAAGATAAAGCTTGTGTTTGTTCATGGAGATAATTACAGACAGAAACAGAGCTGATGGTTTGGGCGTCGCTCGTGCAGATGGAGCTAATTAAAGAAGAGATCACAGAACGTGAAGCAGGTCCGAGAGGATGAAAAAGAAAGGAGGGAAGGTTTTGCTTCTTTTTCATAACTGTTGCTGTTTGTCCCAAATCTGCTGGCGTCATTGTTAACGTCCAATCACGTCCAATCACTACAACGCTGCTGCTGCAAACTGCACACGGACTGAACACAGTTTGAGGAGGAAACAAATGCATGTTGGCTTTAATCAGGACCTGATGACAGAACAAAGAGTTTATCAGAGACGTCAGAGTGTGAACGCACGCGTTCAATCAGACGTCGGAGCAGCTGCTGCCGCCGCTGCGTACCGCCCTCCTCCATTCATCCCGAAGAGGCCGTCTGATCTGAAGCCTGCAGTTTGTGTCATTAACAGGCTGCCAGGCAAGTGTTTGTTTTCACTTTGTGGTTTTAACAAAGACAAACAGAAATTTCTTCTTTATGATCAAGAACCCAGCGTGCAAGTGCCAAAGCCTGCACTTCCTCCAATGTCCACTTGGTTGGCTTCAAGACTGAGTCGGTCCCCACAGACCTCGAGCAGGTCCAACTCTGGTGAGGATAAAATGTACCTCCCTCTCTAATTTTTAGCGCTCCATCTAGAAAGCGTCTACAGCACAAACAAATTCACCTCCACTTTCAGCGTTAGGGACGGCCCTACGTGCAGCGGCGTGAGCCACATCATTTCCTTTCTGACTTTTCACTGAGCTTCTAAATCCCGCTGTGTCTGAGTAAAGAAACAAAAGAGAAACAAAGCAGTTGGAAAGTGTCAGGAGGCTCAAAGCCTGCTGCTGACTTCAAGAAAAAGAAAAGAGCTGCTTCCTTCTCTGTGCAGAGATATGCAGATGTGGATAAAGAAGGATGACCTGCTGCACGGGAGCAGAAAAAGTTTCAAAGCAGACAAATTTCTAAATGCGATGTGTAGAAATCTACTATTTATTTATAATGTTTATAGTGTTTACTCACACATAAACATAGACTGTTTCTACGACTTCTGAGAGACAAGCTGGAGCTATCAGGAGTGGACCACCACATGTCCCAGTGGATACTGGACTACCTCACAGGACGCCCACAGTATGTGAGGACACAGCGCTGTCTCTGACACGCTGGTCTGCAGTACGGGGGCCCCACACTGTGCTGGCACCGTTCCTCTTCACCCTCTACACTGCAGACTTCTCCATCCACTCCCCACGCTGCCACCTACAGAAGTTCTCTGACGACTCTGCCATAGTCGCCTCATCACAGGTGAGGACGACTCAGAGTGCAGACGGTGGACTCTGGACTTTGTGGACTGGTGTCAGCAGAACCGCCTGCTGATCAACGCCGGGAAAACCAAGGAGCTGGTGGTGGACTTCCGGAGACGCAGACCCACCACACTGACACTGGTGGACATAGTGGACTCTTATAGGTACCTGGGTGCATCCTCGATGCATGAAGGAGCGTTTCTGCAGGTCCTTCCTCCCTGCAGCTGTCAGACTGCACAATCAGAACTGCTCCCAACAAACACAGATGTTTACATCTGTATCTTGCACTATTTTATCAACCGATTCACACTAAACGTGGGTTTGCCTGTTATCTGTATTTAATTTTATTTAATGTAATAACGGTACAGTACTCTGCTTTTGGTAACCATTGTCCTTGATGGAAATATGTAAAAACTGTGTATGTTTCTGTTCTGTGTCTTGTGCACTGTTTGTTACACCCCATCGATTCTACTGATGGGTTGTTGTCGCTAATCTGCCGGGCGGACACACGGCTTTGAACTGGAGAATGGAATCATGTAGGACTTTCAAACTGACAGCACAGGGGCGTCGACCTCAAGGTCAGAGGTCAAGTTTTCTGAAAATGTCTAAGAAACCTGAGGACAAGGTCAGGTAGAACTTTAGAACAGGTACCACAGGTGTGTTTAGCACGAGGCTGAGGGGAAGCACTGGTCACCAGTAAGTTTGTAAAACAGGCAGCAATAAATTTAAATTACGTAGCTGATTGAATAGCGTTAAGTGTGGAACAGAGATTTATATATACTGTATATATATATTATATGTGTGTGTGTGTGTGTGTGTGTGTGTGTGTGTGTGTGTGTGTGGTG